TCCTGGAGAAACGGAGCGTCAGGACACAGAGGGAAACCGGGATGACGGGGGGGATTGAGGGGGTTGGGGCGAGATCTGTGACCCTGCAGCTGCAGATGCCACAGTGGTTATAAATAGATTGTAAATTTATCAATGTATTATAAATATATCAATAAATTATAAATATATCAATATATTATGAATATATCAATAGATTATAAATATATCTATACATTATCAATATATCAATGTATTATAAATGTGTAAATGTATTATAAATACATCAAATGTTATCAATATATCAATATATTCTACTTATATCAATATATTACATTTATATAAATGTATTATAAACAAATCAATATATTATCCATATATCAATGTATTCTAATGTATCAATGTATTATAAATGCATCAATGTATAATAAATATATCAATATACTCTAAATATGCCAATATACTCTAAATATGCCAATATGTTATAAATACATCGATCTATTATAAATATGTAAATATAAGTATATATTAGAAATACAATGCATTATAAACACATCAATATATTATAAATATGTCAATGTATTATAAATGTATCAATACAGTCTAAATATGTCAATATTTTATAAATATGCAAATAGATTATCAATATATCAATATATTATAAATATATACATGTGTTATAGATATATCAATCTATTCTAAATATGTCAGTATATTATAAATACATCAATATATTGTAAACATGTAAATATATTAAAATATATCAATATATTATAAATATATGGATGCGTTATAAATTTGTAAATATAAAAATATCGATATGAATATATTAAATGTATTATAAATACATCTATAAATACATCTATAATACATGTATTATAAATACATCTATACATTATAAATACATAAATATATTATAAGTATGTAAATATATTTAACAGGTAGGGAGGAGGGGTGGGATGTGTGGTCTGCTCCTCCACAGCTAAATATAATGTGATATCATATCATATCATATCATATCATATCATATCATATCATATCATATCATATCATATCATATCATATCATATCATATCATATCATATATCATTTATTCCACACCAGAGGGGAAGGAAAAGCTGGAAATTTGGGGTTAAAGAGGGAACAGGAAAGGAGGACTGGGATGACCA